GAAAAACATTTTGCACATCAAATTTTTAATAAAGTAATCAACGATAGTCGTCTATACTCGGTTTTTCAAATTTCAAAGTGACCAAATGGTATATTTTCACATATGACATATTCTTCGTACGAATCCTCGATATTCAATTATAGATCATTTTTACAAATTTAACATAAGACACATACTTAGTACGAATATTAAAAAGACATACTCAGTACGAAACATATTCAAGCAATACCGAACGATGTAAACATTAACATATACAAAACAAAAATGACAAAAATTAAAATTAAAATCTAAATATTAGATGCAGAACACGTATATATTCGAAAAAACAATTAAAATCAACAATGATTGTCGATACAGATAGTATCGTTTTTGCTTACTCACCTGGTAATAGAGAGTCGGGTTACAATTTCCCGAAATGCGAATTTAGAGCCCACGACGTCGGTCTAGATTCGACATCTACCGGTGAAACTTCAATAGGAGCCGTTGAATCTCCTCCGGTTACTGTAAGCGGTTGCCGTCTCAGAAACAATATATGAAAATCTAAAAAAAAAAAAAAANTTAAAAAAAAAAAAAAATAATTATATATCAATTTGTACCGAAAAAACAAACTCAGTTTCATTATATCTACAATCACAATATTTTAAAAACACATTTTGCTACTGGACTCATAATGAAATTCAAACCGATAAATAAAAACATGAGATTACCTTTCATATTATGAAATAATCGATGTCATTGGCTTGATCTTTGTTGATACGAAGATAGATCTGTACATGCCAAATCGATTTCGTAAATCATAGTTTTAAAAAATCGATTGTTGTAAACTATAAGGAACGACATCGACGGTGACAGAACTTAAAAAATAGCGAGACTTAGTTGTGATTACCAGTTGTTTTTTTGGAAAGCACACTAAATTTTTTCCGAAATTTTCGATCGAAATAGACGAATTTCGACATAACCACGAAATAGTAGGATTGGGTCGATGAGGCGGAGAAAGGGAAGAGGTTGAAACCTCAAAATGAGCCAAACGATATTTATATACTACTGTGATATTGAATCCGAGCCGTTCTTTTCTGTTTGACTTTTTTTCGAACGTTCGATTCAATGTTCTGGTAAGTTCTTGGTGATTTTCTGGACTCAATATTGATGATGTGGACCGTTTAATGAATAAGGCCATTAAAAAAAATTGGGCTTTGAGACATGGTAAAATTTGAATGGGAATTCTTATATAAATATTGAGACATGAATTGATTTTAATGTTTGGGGCCCAAATTTTAAAAGAACCCAACAGCCCATTGTTTTGATGTTATTCAGCCCAACTTATTAAATTCAAATAATTTATAGATTATATTTTACATTATTATATATAGTTAATAATTGTGATCAAGATAAAATAAGTATTATTTAAATATACAAAAAAAAAAAA